TTGTGACACCACTAGCTTTTCTGTTAATTCATAAGTAAATCGCACATCTTGATACAATAGTTAATACAGTGAATAAGCTGATGTGAGTTTGAAGAGTCAAGACTGATGAACAACAACAAGAAGATGGACTTCTCCAGCCTGAAAGTTGAAAAGAGGTTTAAGGCTAAAGTTCATTAAATACTCGCAGTAGTCAGACACCTTCCACAAAACAGTTGCTGTACATAACATCTAATCCAGAATTGTGCTAGCACCTTGTTTGTACTTAAAACATTAGGCATTATATTGGTTAAAAGCAGTAACAGGCAAACTATACCCCACAAACCCTAGCTTCACTCATTAGTACTTCAAAAAAGTAATTCTGGAAATGTAATTCATTTATGGACCTAATGTAGGTTGCATTTTCACTAGGACACTATAGCAACCTAGTTATACAAACAAGCCTTTCAAGTAACAACAGGTCTTAATTCAGTGGTTGATGTCTAATGTGACAAGATATTCCATACTTGAATTTGCTCATTGGACAAGATACACCAGTGGTCATCAGTCTGATGGCATAGCTGTAGATAGCAATAACTATTCAACTCTTATATTTAAGGAGAGTTTTAAGATCCTGTTCTTGTCAGTTTTCACAACTTTAAGAATTATTTCCTTAATATAAGTGCACAAGCTGCTTACTTCAGAGCACTTTGTTTTCACATGAACTACAGTCTGAGTAATCACTTACATGTACAATCCACTCCTAGAGCTGATTACTCCAAACTTTTCTTCACCAAGCAAAATAACTGTGATCTGCTGTAGTTAGTTTTCATTATCTCCTGAAAATGATATGTTGTCAGAGATTTAGTTAAGGTTAATGAAAGACTTGTAATGCCTCTTATTTCTACTTTAAAGTGTAATTCCAGTTAAATATAATAGGAAGTTAAATATAATAGGAAGATCTTTAAAGTAAATCCTAAATAAACCATTATAATAGCAAAAATTTAAAAAAAAACCCCACCTTTATACACACCTCACTTCAGTAAACCACTAAAGCGTCAGCAAGTTAAGAATACCTTCAAATTAGTTTGGCTAATCAAAATTAAGACAGGAGCTTGCCATAGACACCTTCAAAAATACAGCTTGCTGGAAACAAGCTGGACCAGCCAGAACAGATAGTTGTACTGGGAACAGAAGGGCACAAGTGAAGAAGCTCCAGAGACTTAACTGGGGAGAGGGTTGGGCGTAAGTAACCACACCACCTCTAAGTACTCAGCGTTGAGAGCTGATGGCCATCTGTACACATCAAAAACCAGCATGGTAGTTCCCACAATGCCCATTTCTACACAAACAGTTGCAATTCAGTACTAGTAAGGTACCGAGCTGAGTTTTCTGCATCAGCTAGTCTTTTCTTTAAAGTTTCTAGCAATATTCAAGTTTTTCTTCAAGTTATTCAGGGGACTGCCCTGAGAAACGAAGCAGTGTAAGGCAGGGCATTTTTGTTGTGCCAAGTCCGAGTTCAGCATGGCTTGTCACCAGCCATAAAGCACAGCATCCACCTTCTGCACCTGACAGACTAATGGGGAAATCCCTACTCCTAACTGGTACTGCTGGGCCAAACACCTCCCCAGCAGATGCCAAGTGAGAGCAGAGACGGTATACCTGCCCGCCTCACCCCTCCTCCTCCTCTTGTGCACAGCCCTGTTGCGGTTCTTTCCATGATCAAGGTGGAAAATTAGTCCCTCATTTTTCAGTTAAATCTTTCAAATTTTTAAACTAAACAAGTTCCAAGATATTTAGTGACAAAATTGAAAGAACGATTCAGACTCAGTATTTTTGCCCTTTCCATACAGGTACTTCTTGAGCATGTTGCATCAAAAATAAAGATTTCACAGCATTCTCATCTCTGCATAGTGTTGAGAAGAATTTTAATTTTCTGAGTCTTGGGATACAAACTACCTTACTGCATATGAAAAAAAAAATAACCATTTACAGTGTTAAAATACAGCAAATCGGGGTGTTTCCAATTTATGAGACATTTAGTATCACTAATACAACCATATACCTAGAAGAAAAGAAAAAAAGCCCAAGCTTATTGGTGTAGTCTTCAAAATAATTAACATGGGATTTTGAGAGAACTATTTTGAATTAATTTTTATAAGAAAAAAACCCCTTAAGTCTACTTTTTGAAGACCTTAACTATCAGTTAAGAAGGTACTATTTCGATGCTTACCAAAATTCAAGTCTAAGTTGAATTCACCATTTAGGTGTCCTCAGACACTCAGCCATCCAGTTTTATGCACACAAAACCTGTAGTACCAACAAAGGCTGGGTTATTAAGCCTGGCTCTATAGCATCTTTCTACACCTGAAGCAAGCAGAATTCATACAAATTGCAGGCTTCAGAACATGACGACGCTCATCTATTGTAGTTTGCCTTTTTACCCAAAACAGATTAAGAGCTCTTAAAAATCTTAACTTATTCCATGCGTAATATTCAGCCCTATTCCTAGTAATGCTGTTCTTGAAGTCGGAAGTGCTTAAAAAAGGACTTCACTCTCTAGCCAGCTGCACTGACAAAATTGTATTCCCTGTTATTTTAGTCTACATTTGAACACGCAGAGTTACCTTGCCTCATGGGGAGTAAAAAGCGAAGTAGCCACTGTCCAACTGCAGCTGTTAACGAGTCTAGAATCCAATTTATCTCTAGAATCCTAGAGACAAAATTAATCTCTGACGTGAGCTTCTGGAATGAATTTCTAAGTGCAGAAATTAAAGATCCAGTGAATTTCTGTACTGTGTGAACAACACGTTAGAACATTTCCTACGTGATCCATTTTCACTATAACACGACACCTTCAGACGCGTACAGACATTTAAATCTCACCGAAGTCATTGCTGTGTCAGAAACAAGTGCAAGGCAGATGACACATTTCAGCAGTTGCCCACTAATTCAGGAAGAAACTTTTGCACAAGCCTACCTTTTTGTCAAAGGACTACTGTAATTTTTGAGCCAAGTTACTAAGATTCTCTATTGCCAGACAAGACAGGTCAGCTTCTGTCACCTCAATAACCCTGTTAACAGTGAAGATGGTGGGAAAGCATGAATATCCGGGCAGCACAAGACAACAGCAGCTAGAGCGCTAGCACGCTCGGTATACAGTAAGCTACAGAAGCATTTCGAGGACATCTCTCAGTAGGCTATGTTACCCATAGGAACGTTTATCACAAAAAAACCAAAAAAGTGCCTTATTTCACATTCCTCAGCCAAATGCTATCCAGAGACATTATTTTATTAGTGGTCCATCATAACCTGGCTGAGATTGCAGACTTGCACGAAGGATGGTTGTAACTGGTGAATGATAAACACACATCAGTTAACCCAAACAGGAATGGAAATCTCTTGACATTTAAGCATGCATGAGTAAGTTGGAGGGGAAGAAAAAAGGGCATTAAGGTTAAGCAGGAGGCGTCAAGATTAAGACAAACTAAGTCACTCGCTTCCTTCCCTCCTCTGTACTATGTTTGACAGTGAACTCAAACTCACCCGTTTCGCCGCCTTCATCGCTTTGCCCCTGCAGGCTAAAAACGCATTCCCAGTGAGAGTTCTTTAAATAAAAAGCAAATCCTTTAAATGAAAATTTAAATTTATTTTGAAACTTTTAAATGTCATTTCTATCAATTTAGACACACTGTTCAACATCATCAGATCAGAGAATTTACAGTGACTCACGGATAAAGATTTGACTTTTACATTCAAATGTTAAGTACTTCAGAATAGCTTTGTCTTGTTATTTCCAAACCAGAAACACTAAAGAGCATTTTATTTTGCCTTTCAACCATCGTTGTTAATTAACAGACTCTTGGTATCTGCTGTACTTTACAGGGAACATGAACACCAAAGGAATTACTTTGTTTGACTGAAGTCAGTACCTCAATTACAGTTCCAGATTTAAGACTAGTTCACTGTAGCATCAAAAGGCAGCGCTAAGTAAAAAGTTTTAAAAACACATTTTCCTCAGGTAGACTGCAGAGCCTGACCTACTTGGAAAACCTCTCCATGAAGATAAAAAGGTCTTGCTATCCAATGGTAACTACAGTCTTAAAAGCTCAGCAAGTTTTATCCATTTTCCGTAATTACTTTGGAACCAGCATTACAGAATTCTATTGCTATCCTAACACGACTCTTGTAATAGTGGTTAACAACAAAATTCAACTGATCTATCAGACGTATAAAATTGTGGTGATTTTATTGCTCACTATAGTTTATTTTCCTACTCTTCAGCACTAGCTTGAAACCGGATAAACAGAAAACATCTGCAGGGAAGAGATTTGATCAATTTGCCCATTCTGGCAAGGAGAGTACCCCTCAAGTGTTTACAACATAATTAACTGTTTCAGAGTGAATGTCAGACTGCCTCTCTCCGAGAGGGACAGCCTCCCACCACACATCTGGGAACTTCAGAACCCCTCCAATTTGCAAAAAAACCAAGCTCCAAATTCCTGAAGAAAAGCTTACGGACGACACCTTTTACTATGAGATTTTCTGTGTCAGCATATCCTAAGGTACTCAAACAGGTAAGATGCCTTTGTACACAGCTCCATGTCAGAGGCTGCTGCTGCCTTCAGTCAGCAAGTAGCACATCATGGAAGATCTGGGACCACAGCAACAACTTTGTGCTACATCAAGCATTTATAATACTAACAAATCTGGAGGGGGTTGTGCAAAGATTTTTGGTTTTTAAGAGGAAAATTCTTCCTGGGACTCAGGTAATACATTTTCTCTCCCACCTTTATTGTCACTGTCTGACAGAACATCATTAATAGAGCATTCCTGGCACACTACTGCCTGATTTCAGAAGTCTGCTGCATTTCAAGGCTCAGAGGCACAATCCCTGCTCAGCAACCCACAGCAGAAGTGTGAAAGGTCATTCATGCTACCGTTTTAGAAGCCGCATAAGAAACACCTATGTCATCTTAACCTTCCCTGTTGGTAAAGTCTGTTAACCTAGTTAATCCACACGTATGATGATATGTATCTCAACACCCAACCAAACAAGTGTATTCATAAGCCTTTAGAGTATATAGAAAACTCAGTTCTGTCCTCTGATGCTGTTTTCAAGTTCGTTTTATTCACTCTTTTGGATGACTATAAATAAGTGTTTCCACTATGGAAAAGAAAATTAGCACAGTACATTTTCATGACTGGGGAATGGATTTTCTGAAGACATCTTCAAAAGGGCAAAAGCTTAGAAAAAACAACCTGAATGTTCAATTCAGTTCCTTATAAAGTCCCTTGTAAAAAAAAAAAGGAAAAAAGTAAAAAAAAAAAAAAAAGGGAAAACAGAAAAGGAAAAACTGCAAGGCCCAGGATGATTTATTGCTTTTCTTCAGGTTTTTCCTTGGTCTCTTTCTTCTCAGATTCTTTGCTCTCTTCCTTTACAGAAAGCTCTTCTAATTTTTCAGCAACTTTATCAGCACTATCATTTTTGTCTGTGCCTGCTAAGAGATTGATTAGGAAAAAAGTTACATACAGGCAGTAACAGATTTTCCTGTTAAAGGGAAAAGTAGAAAGGTGGGGGGTGAGACAGCCGGCATTTAGAATGAGAACACCACTGAGCAGAGGGATTCATTCCATTTCTCTTCCTTTGGTCGTTACCTCCGATGTCAGAATTCAAGAAGTAGCACTTGCATCGTTAAATCACTAAACGAGGCCCTAATCATAGTGACTGAGAAACATGTAACATGCGGTCAGCTTTGCTGCTACCAGGAACAGGCTCCACAGGGTGCATCTCCAGTACCTACCTTCTTGTCTAGCTTAACCAAAAAACCAAAAGTCAAGTTCCCCAGAGTCAAGCTGGGGAGTGGGAAGTTCTTAAGACTGAAAAATTCCAGTCTAAGTATCTTGAAGAGTGTTGATTGCAGACCATTAGTAATATGTGCTTTAGAAAGACGGAAGTGTTTATCTTACATGGTCAGGTATCTTGTCACATAGGCAATTGTACAGGGTGGTGCATTAGTCTATTAGAGACCCATGAAGAAACACTACAACTTAGCACACATTAACAACTATAAAAAAAAGTATTCTACTTGTATGACTATGTATTTATGGAATTTGGGAAGGGGACTGGGAAGGAAGAAATATCAGTGTGGTTGTAGTGTTTGAGTTCATTTCTGGACCAAATCAGAAGTGCTTCCTTAGCAGCCTTTCCAAAAAAGCGATGTCCCAACAGCAATTGTAACAGCCTTCTACAAGCAAGAAGGCAATTGTCACTCCCGTGAACTATTTCTCTCGCAGACAGAAAAAGCACCTGAACTGAAGACAGCAGTTCAGTACAGAGTGTGTCTGCTGAGACAACAGTGCCCCAGGGGGCTGTAACCACCCGAACAGCTGAAGAGTGGCTGGTACCACACCAAGACCTTTCACCTTACCTTTCTTTGCTCTCTTGTCTACTTCATTCCTGCATTCTTCAAATTTTGCCTTGAATTTCTGTGCATCTGTTTCAGTAAAAACAGAATATTTTTTCATTAGTTTTACATCCTTGCAACATTGAATACTTCCAATTTTGAGGAAAGATACCTGAGGAGAAGTTTTGTGTAAACAGTACTTCCTAAGTGCCTACAAGTTATCTAGTTAAAAATCATACAAGATGCTATGCAAAATTCTTGAATCACATCTTTGTGCAGATGCAGTTTATTTTCTACTAAAGCAGCTTTTTCCTGACTACAGCAGCTAAGGAAGCATAAACTTCATTATGTTCTGGTGCAAGCCACCACTTAACAGTCATTCCAAGTAACTAATTGACGTGCAATAACGTTTCCACAAAATAATACAAGCAACAAGACACAGAAGCAGGTCAGGCAAGGTACTTCCTAACACCAGAACGGCAAGAAAGGGGATTTGGTCTGACTGACCACATGAGGTCACTGTTGCCACACAGGGGTTCAGAAGCCACTGTGAAAGTCCTCCAGGAAGTATTTGTATTGATTCCCTTTTCAAGCATCTCAAAAAGGAAAGACACTTGAAGGGCATGCTTATGCCTGTTCACCTGTCATCTGCTTAGTACTGCAAAGGGGACTACTCCCTCAAGACAAAGAACTCAGTAAGCTGAACAACCTCTACCAGAAAAATATGAGCAAATAGTTACCTAAACACATTTAATCTCATGTTTGATTAAGAAAGAAGCAAGCACTAAGCAGGCAGATCAGGAAGATTTATATGGCTAAACAATATGATATTGGAGACTCGAGGAAAAAGGAAGCATGAAAAATAGGCTAAGTTCTCCCCAGATGTAGGCAAATCCCTCTAGCTTTCAAATACCCAGCCACTTAATTAGCCACCTAGCATATAGGCGGAAGAGGCGGCTAATGCACTCAACTTGTGCAACAAATGGTAAAGCAGGGGATGCACCAACATTTTTCCTCTTTCATTTTGCCTTTTTTTCCCCCTCACACACAAAAAAAACCCAACCAAAAAAAAAAATCACAAAAAACACCCAAACCCCACAACCAACCCAACAAAACACACAAAAAAACCCCAAAAAACCCAAAACACTGATTCAGTCCTCAGGAGCTCGGAAAGCTACACTGTCATTCAACCCTACCAGCTGGTCCATTTGTAATTACAGCCCTACTTTCTTTTCTGGAAGCCCATCTAGTCACTCCAAGAAAAACCCACCAACTAGCTATGATAGTTGAGTTTGACTAGCATTTTTCACTGAGTTTAATCAAAACAAAAAAAACACTATGTACTTCATTAAAAAAAGAGTCAGATGTTCTACTAATGTAGATGGACCAGAAATCTCAGGTCAGTGTTTCCTTGCTTCTAATGCAAAAATATACTCTTAACTACAACTGAGCACCCGAGACAAACAAAAGCAAGATGCATGTATTGACTCTACTCCATAGTATCACTGCTGTTAGTTTTATTCTATGTGGCATTACACTTGCAAGAAATGGCTTAAGTTAAAAAAGTGCCTAGGGCAGAAAGCTCAGTAAGTATGACTGGAGACCTAATTATTACACTGTTTGTCAACACATACGATGAAGTGATTAACTGACTTCCCCCACTTAAAACAGTAATAAGCTAATACTACCATGCAGTGGTAAGATACACTGTATCTCAACAAGGTTTGACTGTAGTGTTTAGACTGTGTAACACAGCAGTGTACAATGAAGACAAGTTCAGTGCCAGTCCACTCACTCTCTGCATTTAAAAATCGGATTGCCAGAAGTTCAGGCTTTGGGCTTTCATCTGCAAAGTCAGCATGTGTGTTCCAGACCCATGCTCTGTCGCTCCCGGCATTAGGCTTCAGCTCCATTAAGGGTGTGACTAAAAAGGAAGCATTAGAAGATGTACACAGCACAATAGTAAGCGTTTTCCACACCAGCCACTGTGAATCTTATTGACAACTGTGTTGGTTATGTAAAATACTTCAAAGAATTAATTTTAGATAAATAGAAGACAATGGTGCCCATATATATTTCTCCTTATATCCTCAAATAAGATGATGCAAGACTGACTGTACAAAAGACTGCTAGATTGCTTATTGTCAAGAAACTGAGTTTCATTCAATTCTTGTTTACAAGAGATGACTGTGATATGAGAGATGCGGTCACTAAGTGCAACTGAAGAACAGACAAATGGTTTAGGAGAAAAGGCATCTAGACAGACAAACAGCATTCATCCTTCTTTGCACACTGAAAATACTACATACCACAAAAAATTATTTTTAAAAAGCACTGTTCCTAAAATTAGTCATCAAATCAGGTTCATTTTTCTCCATCAGTTTAAAGCTCTACTACATGGTATTACAGAACTCTGCAGGGCTGCAAGATGTGCACAGCGTACTTTCAATCCATGCCCTTTCCTTCCAAAACACTGCAATTACTTCACCTGACTGATTAGAGAAGTTGGAACTTCATTTCTGACACCACTCTAAGACTTTTTACATTACACATGTGAAAAGTTTAAGCAGAGCCCTTTTTTTTCCCTGACCCCTGGGTCCTTTTTTTGTTCTGGAAAAATCTGAAGTACCTACTCACTTCCTTGCATGTTTTAAATTTAGAGATCAAATTACATTTTGTTTCATTTAATGTTCTGCAAAAATGAAGAGTCTTTTTAGCTGCCTGTGAGTCAGCAAAAATTCCATACGGAAATTTATACTGAAAGCAGGTTTTCCAGAAAAAACCCTTTTGACATGCACACTATAAATTTATTGATTCTATTCTGCTTACATGCCACCTATATTTTCCTAAACAAAAGGTTTATTCTTATGAGTTGGTGACCCCACTGCTTTCATATCTGCCATTTCATTTACTAAGCAGCAACAGCCATGTCCTCTGAGTAGTCTGACTTTCTGAAGAGATTTACCCAAAGAAAACAAGCATTACTGCTTCTGACTTCAGATCTGCATTACGCTACTTCGAGCAAGTTGTTTCAAGTTATCTAAATGTAGTTTAACTCCACAGAATACTATATACTCTTCATATAAACATCTGAATATTACCAAAGCAGCCAAGTAACAAGGTGTTACCAAATTAATCTACTTGTTGCCACTTATGTTGACTTTCAAGCCTGTCTTGCCCTTTCATGTTTATTTTTCTTCAAAGAGGACCAAACCAACAAACCTCTCCTGCTCCATCAGCTCTCAATACACATTCTTTTTGAATGAGTTAGCTGAACATACTGCGTTCACCGCAGTTTATTTCACAAGCAGAGACAGGCAGCTACAAATTAGTTTAGCACCTCAGTATCTGTTTTCTGATGGTTAAACAATTGCTTCTACCAATTCAAACGTTTAGGTCAAAGTAGTGAATTATTATGTGATTATTTCCCATTCTTTTATGGAAACAAGCCAGCATACAGTTAATTTTTTTTATGCTAAATAGTATTAAGGCCTACATTTTCTAAAAAAATCACACACATTGGGAGCAATCACATGATGCCTGTCTATCCCAGTTAAATTTTAAAGCATCTTTAGAACACTATCAGAGTCTGAAGAAAAAAAAACCCACAACTTTTCAGACAGCCTCGCAGGCAGTCATGAAAACCAGCTACAGCTTCTTGCCATCAATAAAACTGGGCACTTGTTGGTTTGTGTGCAGAGCAGGAAACAACTGTATTTACAGTCCAATATAAATTTGATGCCTTTTGAAGACATACATCAATTCTCTATCTGCTACTAAAAAGCCACTGAGCTCTTAATCTACAGGATACAATTCTACAATGCTTATTTTTTGAAACAAAAATAAGTAGTATAGCAACGTATAACATACTATAATGGTTTGCACAGATTTTTAGAGTTTTATCCCTCCTCATGAGGAGGCGAATTGTTCCCTTCTCCTTGTGTTTCAGGAGTTTTACGTCACCAGTTCCTCGTTCTTTCCATTCCGGAAGGTCATTCTCGGATGCAAATCGGAATAGCTTTGCTCGCCTTGAAGAAGAGAGAATTGAAGAAGTTAGCCTGCATGTAGAAACATTTATCAAAACAGCATACTCGCCTGAACAGTACAGTCGTGGGTTGTTTGGTTTTTGGTTTTTTTGTTTGTTTTTAAAAGCTGCACACAAGCAAGAAAACAATTCCTTATGTAGGGTTTCCCGCTCTACTTCAGCACACAGATTTAGAAACTGATACGATAAATTCAAATTTAATAACAAACTAGTAGGAATTAAGTAATAGCTCTGTTAAAATTCAGCAGACACTTTTGGGGGACAACAAAAATACTCAGTGTAGCCAACCTTTTAAATTAAAGTAGCTAGTTAACAGGTTATGCTACACCTACAGCTCTTATATATCATGAATACAACTGCTCCATCTAACCAGCAGTATTAAGTCAAGAAATCAAGCAGCTTGAGGCTAAATAAAGATTTTTATAATTCCAAGTCCAATGTTTGAACAACTGTTAACAAAGTGCCTCACCCTCTAGTCTCACTCATTCCCTTTTAACTCCAAAAACTCTGTTGTTGCTATTCTTAAATCAGGAATAAAGGAAGCTTAGTGCTGCACTGCAGTGCAACATACCTGCTTCAGAACATCACTGTTTAATCTTCCAAGATGCCAGTGTGCCAAAAGAGAAACAGGAGTAATTTGGGACATTAGTCAAAATGGAGCCAAGACACAGTCTGAGCTTTGCTAGTGAGGAGTTTAAGACACTGCTATAGGAAGGGAAGCACCTGCTCACACTACAGGACATAGATAAAAGTATATTGTTCTATAAAACAGCAAGGGATAGGGACATGTAATAAGCCAGGCTCTTCAAGAGAAGGTATCAGACATTGGAGCAAGCTACTGTTAACAGATGCTCTGATGCAGATCAACTACTTGGTTGCAAAGCAAGTCCTTCCTTCTAAACGCAGCTGTCATTCAGTAGGGATTCCCCTGAACTCAGCTATCAAAACCACCAGCATTCCAAAAAGAAAAAAGAAGGGTTTCTTTCCTCCTTCATCCCTTTGTAGGCATAAAAATGAACCTACAAGGCACTGGAACTCAGCCTATTATTTCCTCCCTTTTAAATAAGAAAAACTTTTCATCTGATTCTGCACATCACGTGCAGAGAAGCCTAACGGTCAGAGATCTCACCAGGCTACTAGTCAGAAACTGACCATCGCTCCAGGTTTTACCAGGATCTGTATAAGGAGAACTCTAATCTCTCTTCCAGATGAACAATACCCTCCTGAGATTAAGTAAAAGCAGTATGGTTTTAAAGCTATTTAGAGCAAATACAGCACAGATCAAAATCAAAAGACTTCTTAAGCCTTTAGCCTAGCTTCAGAATTGTAAGCCCAACCTAAATATAAAACTATGTTTACAACAACAGAAGGGTACTGCCACAAATGCCCCAATACAGCACTGCATCTAGTGCTTGAGCATATCATACATCGCCCTTTACAAATGGGGATGCACAGCAGTAACATTGTATGTCTCATTTCCCGCCCCCAAGATACTTGTTCCTTACTGTGATCATACAATTTCAAACCCCTAATACTACCCAAGTTAATGTTTTTCTTTTAGGCTAAGCAATACTAAACCCAGATTCATAGTATCAGCTCCCTTCCATTGTTCCAGGCTTCAGACTTTCTCAGGGCATATTAGCAATCTTCTCCCTACTCAACCTCTGCCACCACAGTGAATACCAACCAACTTGGATTACCACTTTATAGACAGATTCCTAACAACTTAGTTTTTTATAAACATATTTAAGCTTAAGTCTAATAAACATTTAGATAATATACAGAAACAGTCTACTTACATCTTAAAGAGTTCTTCCTCATCCTCCTCCAGAGTTTTTATTTCTTGCTCTGGAAGGGAAACTATGGGCTCAAACTGAGGATCATGGTTAGAATCATCTGCATTTTCAGTAGAAGTATCATGCTCCTCGTGTGTTTCCTGGAGAGGGGAGGCATAAAAGAAAAAAAATGCACAAAACTTGCTATATACTTAATCTGAAGGACCCACACTGTGTTTAACATGAAAACATTTAAGGCTATTCAGCAATTAGATCTTAGTAACTAAAATAGCCCATAACAATGAAGAAAAATTATTATAGCTGAAAACAAGTGGCTTTAACATCAACACAGTTGAAGGAAAAAAGGTGCTTTTGTAGTGCTAGATGTTTTAGTCCTACCATTCTTATTACTTGTGCAGAGGCTTGGCCTTGGAGCAATAGTTCTTGCTTGCGGAAAAATAGTTTCATCAACTGTTTTCCTATATCATGTGTTTTATGCTACTAAAGCACTACTATTTCTCAGCGGCTAATGACCTATTGTTAATGGGAAGAAAATAACCCACAACATCAAAGCAATCACCTACTCCAGCCTAAGGTGCACATTACATCCAGAAGTTCATTATTCTAGTCTTACATATAAGAAACATCCAGTCAATGCTATTTTTGAAGCAAATTGCAACAATCGTGAAGTACTTTAAGACTCTTTGGGGAACTTTAGGTTAAGGGTAAATGGTCAAACTACTACTTCCTATTTAATTATTTAGGAATCTATCATAGCACTAACGAATTGTATATAGTATATGACTACTAAGTAAACGGTAACAAATGATAAGCATCTCTAATACTTCATACATATGCACTGCCAAGAAGCATTCTGTAGGGAAGCCTGGAAGGGAGATTAATCTACAAGTTTAATGAGCCATAAGCAGCTATCTGAGGTCAGGGGAACCGATTTGGGGGTTTGGGTGTTGTTGTGGTTTGAATACCAAAGAAAGGAAAAAAAAAACAGTCTATACACTGAAGACACTTTAAGCTTATTTTCACTTTACAGATGAAAGAGTCCACTCTTACAGGCTGCCCCTTATAGAGCAGATACACACCACACGTGCATAAAGCAAGAGGGATGAAGCAGCCTATTTTTACTAAATAGTTAAAAATAAAAAAGGGGATCAGGGGAGAATTGGGGAAGAAATGGTGCAAAATAAATCCTGGTTATGTCAACAACAACACACCAGCTATCACTGGTTTTATGTCCCCAGTGTTCCAATATGTGAAAGAAAAAGTGAGAAAGCTGTAAGTCAGATCCGTTTTCAATAAAAAGAAGCACTGGCCAAACTTTCGTGCCTCCCTAGTAGCCAGTAGCACACCCGGTATCGCAATTCATCACCAGTTCTGCGCCTGACCAGTTATTTAGAGGAGCCGTAAGAAATGCCTAATTCACAACAGCCACAGGCGAGAGAAGGCAGATCCCGCTATCACGGTGAGATCCCGCCCTGCCGCGACACAGAGCACGTGGGACTGACGGCTCCTTTCACCAGGCCGCGGCACGAAAGGTCCGGTCAGCCGGGCTGGGGGGAGGGGCGGAGAAGAGAGAAGGAGAAGAAAGGAGGGAGACGGGCAGAAGGATCCCCCGAAAGCGCCCGGGTGGCAGATGAGGCCGTGGCGCCTACGAGAGGCTCCGGCTCCCCCGCGCTCGGGAAGGG